TAAAGATTTGTGGTTTTGCCCATAGCTGGTCTCAGATTGGTCACCCTGCCTGTGGCCTCCAAGATAACTTAGATTACAGGCATGACATTGAGATGAGATCTTACTAAACTTTTGCCTTGACAGCCACCTTTCTGATTTCCATCTCCTGAAGAGCTAGGATCATAGGCATATGACACTTTAGCTGGCCATTTGCTATATTATTTTTGCCCAAAATAGCTTTGGCTATTTTGGCTTTGTGTGTGTGTGTGTGTGTGTGTGTGTGTGTGTGCACTTGCTTTGTGTTTTCTTACAAATTTTAAAGTGCTTTTTGTCTTTTCTGTGAAGTATATCATTGGCATTTTGGCAAGAATCTTAAATATTTTTAAGTAGTAGTTTGAAAGCCAGTTGAAAGGTCATGTTGGCATATTAAATGCATTGTCTACCCTGAGATAATAGTTCATAGAGTGAGGCTAGCAGTATGGCTCAGTTGGTTGAGAACTAGCATCAGAGCAAAAGCATCAGGTCCCAAGTTTGAGTCCCTAAAAAAGAAAAGAAAAGAAATAGTCAGATGAGTTGATGTTAGGCGAAATGAACCCCAAGATAAGGATTCATATGTTTTTTCTTTCTTGCGAATGTTTCTAACATATTTATGAGATGATTTCTTTGTTGCTTTGTATGTTCCTCCCCCACAGTATAACCCCTGTTTTCACTGTATTTGATGTTGGTATAATTTGTGGAGAGAAAGGGAAAAAAGAAATTGTTTAAATAGGATACGGGTGGACCCATTGCAACAATGAGATGTACAAAGACGTTATGTCAAAAATCAAACTTTAGGGCTGGGAAGGTGGCTCAGTGGTAGAGCGCTTGCCTTGCATGCATGAGGCCCTGGGTTCGATTCCTCAGCACCACATAAGCAAAAAGAAAAAAGCCGGAGGTGGCACTGTGGCTCAAGTGGTAGAGTGCTAGCCTTGAGCTGACAAGCTGAGGGACAGCGCCCAGGCCCAGAGTTCAGGCCCCATGACCGGACCCCCCCCCCAAAAAAAAAAAAAAGAAAAATGAACTTTACCACTTTGGGTTGGGGAGAGGATGGGAAGGCATGGGAAGGGGAAACAAAGGAGGAGGCAACAATGCTTGATAAGAAATGTACTCATTACCTTGCCCATGTAATTGTAACCCTTCTGTACGGTATTTTCACAATATAAATGAATACAGAAATAAATAAAAAGAAATAGTCAAACTAAACAATGGAAACAAGAGAAGTTCTTTTTTTGTTACTTTGCTTTGAGGTTTTTTGTTTGTTTGTTTTTTCCCATTTTTGATTTCTGTACCTTTTGTCTTATACGTAAGTTTATCTGTTTTAGGGAGGGTAAGGAGGAGCACAGAAATTGTGGGACAAAGGGTAAACTAATACAATAGTGATACTAGACATTATGTTGAAAATAAACTATACAACTTGTGGGGAAGGTGAACAAGAAGGAAAAACTGGGTGAAAACAGGGAAACAGGTGGCACTGTTCAAAAAGAAATATACTCATTACCTGACTTATGTACCTGTAGCCCCTATGGATATCACTTTTACAATAACGATTAAAATTTTTCTTCGGTCATGGAGTTTGAACTCTGGGTCTGGGAGCTGCCCCTGAGCTCTTCAGCTCAAGGCTAGGGCTCTACCACTTGAGCCACAGCGCCACTTCCAGTTGTCTGGTGGTTTATTGGAGATAAGAATCTCACAAATTTCCTTCCTGGGCTGGCTTTGAACTGTGATCCTCAGATCTCAGCCTCCTGAGTAGTTAGGATTACAGGTGTGAGCTACTGGCACCCAGCTTAAAATATTTTTTAAAGAAAGAAATCATTCATAGATGGTTGTACCCCAGCCCTCATTAAAAGGGTCTCATTTAAAGGAACCAAGGGATTGAAGTACCTGGGAGACATCTGCAGCCATTCTCCTCTTGTGAGATTATGATATACTCTCTAAGAAGCAGCCTTCACTTCATGTACCTGAGCCTTAAAAGGTTGTAAAGTCAGTGGGAATAAGTATGCACAAACCATGTGATAATGGCCACGGTTTGGGCTGGATGCTGCTCATCCTCATAATAAATCCATCGGGTACTTAATCTCATTTCTTCAACCTACTAAGGTAAGATGACTCATCCAGGACAGGTAACACCTTTGCCATCTCTTACAAAGAACTTTCTCACAACTCCATCAGCCAACATACTTGAATGTCACTGCTAGGAGACAGTGGACAGGCTTTGGCCATGTGAGCTGCTGTGATTTCCATGTCTGGCCCTGCATAGCATGCACGGTGAATCTCAGGGACATACTTTTTTTATCCTGTTGAAAATTTCTAGGTGACTTTGATGTAGATAGCATATCATTCACCATCATACATAATGGAGAATAACTCATTGCTAGATGGATGGATAAAAACTAGCAACTGGATACTCCGAGCCATAGGACTCACTGGCCTGGGTCAGGAGGGAAAAAACTGGGAGAAAATGAAGGAAGAAGTGACACTGTTCAAAAAGAAATGTGCTCATCACTGTAACCCCTCAGTATATCACCTTTACAATTTAAAAAAATGGAAAAACAACTATAAGGAACTTAGTATTTTGTATGTTCTGTATCATATAATAAGGACGGTATACATCTATATAATATTATACATAAAACTGTCTTCTTTTTTTTTTTTTTGATCAGTGTGGGGCCTGAACTCTGGGCCTGGGCACTGTCCCTCAGCTTTTCAGCTCAAGGCTAGCACTGTACCACTTGAGCCACAGCATCACTTCTGGCTTTTTCTGTTATGTGGTACTGAGGAATCAAACCCAGGGCCTCCTGTGTACAAGGCAAGCAATTTACCACTGAGCCACTTCCCCAGTCCCCAAATAGTTACATTTTAAGCATTCAAAAAATGCCTTTGAGGGCTGGGAAGGTGGCTCAGTGGTAGAGTGATTGCGTTGCATGCCTGAGGCCCTGGGTTCAATTCCTCAGCACCACATAAGCAAAAAGAAAAAAGCTGGGAGTGGTGCTGTGGCTCAAGTGGTAGAGCGCTAGCCTTGAGATGAAGAGCTGAGGGACAGTGCCCAGGCCCAGAGTTCAGGCCCCACAACTGGACCCCCCAAAAAAAGCCTTTGACTGGGAGAGTAAGGGAAGGGGTGATATCGAAAAAGAAATGTACTCACTACCTGTAATCCTTCTGTACCTCACCTTTACAATACCAATGTAAAAAATAAAATCTTTGGCTTGCCATTTGAATCAATTGTGTAATCTCTCTTTTATTCTTCATGACTAATCTTGGTGAATGAAGTACACCATCCTCTTCATTGTGTGGATCAGAATATTAGAAGTGGAGGTGACCTCACAGGTTGGTCCTCTCACTTCAGAGTTGACCAAGACTCTGGATTCAAGGTCACAAGGGTCCTCACATGGTGCCTAGCCTGTTTCTCCTTCCACCCATTGGTTCTTCCTCAGTAAGGACCTCCCCCATGCTGCCAGTCAGTCTGCTGGTGAAACTTGGTATTCCCGGGCTTAATCTGAATATCCCATTTTGTCTACCCACAGCTATCCTGAGAAACACATTCAGACTATTGAAAAGCTCTTCCCTATCCACTTAGTTTTAATGATGTCAATTTCTCTAGCAAGCATAAGATGCTAGCTTGGTTTTAAATGTCAGGACTTTTCCATATTTCATTTTCACTTTTAAAGGTTATTCTAATATAAGTGAGAAGAGAGGGAGAGAAGAATAGTCTCTCTACTCTATTGTTTCTTGAGTGTACTAACTGTTCCTTTAAAATCTTTTCATCTATCCTTAAACCACTGTGCATATTTTCTCATTTTTTTCCTCCAGTTATTTTTATGCCAGTGCATTTGGGGGAAGAAAATAAAAGAAGTACTTCCTCAATCCATCCTCATCTACTCCTCTCCTGATGACAGTCACAAATCTAGGTGCAATGCTCTTAGCTGGGATCAGAAAGAACCAAAGCTTAATTGTAGAGCAGCAGCTCATAGGCCACTGACTTGAGGAAGGAAGAGAATCAGATTCTGACCTGTCTCCATCCTGGACCTGATGCCTTCTACTCTGTACTTTCTCTCTTCCTTTCTTTCTTCATATTTTGGGTCAGAGAATCAGGCCATCTGCTTCCTTGTGCATCTTTAATGGTATAGAGAAAAATTAGGAACACAATTTTAGTTTTTCTTGAGAGTGTCATTGATAAAAGGCAAACGTGATTAGACTTGTTAGTATTTTCTCTTTCATCTTTCGTCTATTAGTTTCTCTTCAAAGCATCAAGCAAAGCATTGTAGAAAAAAGCAAAACAAAAAAAGGTTCAAGGACAGAGGCTCTCTTTAGGCAGAGACATGATTTGTTGGGGCCACTGTTCCTTGGTAAAGACAGCCTTAGGACACCTGTCATGGAAGCTGTTGCTTTAAAAACAATGCTATGGAAGAAAAATCATGGAGTTCTAGTTAAATAGTATCAAATTTGGGAAAACAAGTCATGGGCAGTAGTCTCTGCATACAGTTTATAATCTGAGGGGGAAAGAAACTTACTGAAAAACATATGATCTATTAAAATAGCATGATTGCACACCTGAAACAGGACTCTTTCATTGAGCTTGGCATTGAAATGATAAGTTGCAGAGGGAACAGGAAGAAGGGTGTTGCATTGGGGGATTTGCCCTTGGGATATGAAGATGAGGGAAACAGCACAGCTTTGTGTTCTCTCTCTCTCTCTCTCACTCTCTCTCTCTCTCTCTCCCTCCCTCCCTCCAAAAATATTTTAGGTTTTTTTCCCCATCTCTTTTAATCATGAACCAATTTAAATGTTCTTGCTCCTGGATTTCAGGCTTATCTCCTTCATTGGACCACCCTCAGAAAAGCTATGGCATACAGGGCATTTTGTGATTTGCTTTCTTATGGCCAATAACAGGGATGTTCGCATTCTGCCCACCAGTGGCAGCATCCGAAGAGGCAGACTGGGTGTGCTGTATGGCCCCTCAATACAGATAGGACAAAGCTATTTCTTTAGAAAAGGAACTGAGTATTCTTTTCTCCCTCACCAGGTACAGGAGCAATTACTTTGGGAGGAGAAGGACCTGGAGTGAGTCGATACTGTGCATAGAATAGAGTTCGGGATTCTGGAGACTGCATCTAGGAAAATTTTGAAACCAAATCTGGGCAGGCAACACAGACCAGGCAACACGATCCCAAAGGGAATGAATAATGTACTAAGAGAGGTTCCAGCTCTGAGCAGCTGAGTGATGAGAGCTGGAAATGCCAGAGAAGAAATAACAGCATTCAAAATATCAAGGGGAAAGGGGTGACCTTGATCAAGATGCATTGTATCCATAGCTGCTCTGTTGAATGGCAACTCTTCTGTACATATACTTAAAGATAATAAAAAATAAAAGAGCAGGCCTAGCAGGTCCCTCCTCCCACCAAAATAAAATCAAGGGAGAGAGGTAGACCCAGGGCAAAAACCCAGCTTGGACGATCCTAATTTGTATACATGGATGGTGAAGATCACATTAAGCTGTTACGGGTCTCATTTTACCTGTCCTATTTGTGCTGGTCATGGAGCTGAAAGCTCTCAGTTCTCACCTGTCTTTCTAGCTGGTTTGGTGTGCTGCCCTGGCTCTCTTTTTTTTT